GGGGTTGAAGCTAGGAGGAAGAGGAAGAGGGGGAGAGAGGGGAGAGGTTTAATTGAAGCCATTTTGGAGAGAAGAAGAAGAAGAAGAAGAAGGTGTGGAGTTTTGGGGATGGAATTGAGAACTTTATAAGCCATGGTGATTGGTCCCCATGGAAGAAACTTTTTGAGGGGTAGAGGTAGAATTTTGTGTGGGTGATGTGATGAATATTTTAACTAAATTGAAGTCATCATTGAGTCAAATCATTAAACAAATAAAAGAGATGTTGATGTAATTTTAGAAGTTTCAATTTTATTCACATGGGTGTTGGTGATCATCTCATGAAAGTGATAAATTTCCTCCCTTTATAGAATCCAATTGAAATTTTTAAAATTATAGGAGTGAAATTCAAACCATCCAAGTGGAAGGGACTTAATTCGTAATTTAACTAATTTTTATCTTATTGCAGCCTAAACTTCTAAACATAATATGTTTTTAAGCTTCAATGGACCAGAATTCATATGATCATATTTGTAAATTAAAATATAGTAACAAAAATATAATTTTAGAAATATGACAAATTTGAAAAGAAAAAAATTTGCATGTGTCTATTTAGTCATTTTTACTATTGTATATCACTCTAAGACATCAATTGATAGGCTATATCAACAAAGACGTATATCATTGACATAGTCTATCAATGTAAATATCACTAATAAATTGATAGATATTTCATAGCTATTTTAGAATTTTTATGAGTAGTTTACGTTAGACATTTTTGTTCCTATATTTGCACTAAATTGATCTTACTTTGTCATATATTTCTTTTTCTTTTTTATTTCCTTTTTGAGTTCGATGGCTGCACAAGAGGGAGATTGCACCAATTGACCTTAGAGATTGGTACTAGCTAGGTGTATGACAGCTACTTAAGCTATGCTTGATTTAAGGCATAGTTTCAATTTAATCCTTGAATGGTTTAAAAATTTTTAACTTTATTTTGTTGGGTTAGACTTAAACCTCATAAATTGTAATTTTATTAAAGTTTAGAGCTAAGTAGAAAATAAGGAAAAGGTTGCGAGTTCTTCGTTGGGTAAAAAAATAGTTTATAGATGATTTTTTAGATTCAATCAAACTATAGAAAATCAAATGAAAATTTAATATCGTAAAACCAAATTGAGAATTTAACCCAAAAACTAGTTTGATATATTTTTTTAATTGTTTAATTTAAATCTTATTTTAGTTTTGAATGTTACGTTATTCTATTTTGGCCTCAAGTTTCAAATATTAAGTTAGTCGTTGAAGTTAATTTATCTTTTACATTATTTAATAGAAACGTCTTTTATTCATTTATTTATTTAACAAATATTTGAAATGACAGAAAAGTGTCCGTATCAAAATAAATTTAGAATTGTTAATAAATAATTAAAAAAATTTAATGGTAAGGACTAAAACATGTCTCTTGTGCAAAGTTTAACTAGACACTAAAATCAACAAAATAAAATAGTTAAAATGTTCAAGAACAAAATAGAATATCCAATAGATATGAAAAGAAAGAAGTAAGAGAATACTAAAAATGGTAGTCATTCTAACCCCATAAAAATATGGGAGTCGTCTTCAGAAGGATAATATTGTTTCTAAACCATTAGATTAAGAAATTAAGGAAAAAGTCCCTCAAAAGAAGGAAAAAAAAAGAAGTAAAAAAGAAATTTAAGGAAAAAGATTCTAATCTACACAGAAACATTAGTATCTAACCATTTGAAATATATTTATGACTGCATTTTGGTGTGGGAATGTTTATAATTTATTTTTTATTAGAAAAAAATAACAACATTTAAAATATAGTATGAATCATGAAATAAAATAATACGTGTCAAAAGCATGAATGGAAGGAGTATGTGCTCTCCTAGTACTACAAAAACTCTTTCTCATAGGAGTGTTCGTGGATTGGGTTGAAGTACTTTTTAGACCCACCTATTATTCGAGTTGTAAAATTACTAATCCTGAACAATCTTTATCAAATAATGAATCCAACTCAATCTAGCCATGAAATACTTGGTTTGGTTTCGATTGGTTCAACTTATTCGAGTCACTCATAAAAAATATTGTATAACAAAAACAGTAAAAACTAACGTCTTAAAAATTTATTAACATATTTTCTAACTTTTGAATCAAGATTGTTGATGCAAAAATCTGCCAAGGCACGGAGGACGACCTAGGAGGTCGGTTGGCAACACTTAGAGTATTCTTCAAGAGTACCTGCAAAACAGGTAAGCCACTCTGATGCCCAAGTCAGTAATATTTCGACCTCAATAGATCAGCTTCAAACGGATTTTCATACCTTAGTGGATGGAGTGAAGGTGTATTTATAGCGGTCAATGAGGTAGATAGCTGTCCCATCAGGGTATAGTCCTGCTCGAGCTGGATTCCCCCGAGCGACTTTCGGTCCCAGTCACGGACCGATCCGTTCCCTGCTCCATTAGGCGAGTCTGGACGCTATGTTTCTCACACTAAGTTGCTGCAACCAACCTGGCAGGTCGGTCGTTTGTGGAAATTGTGAACAGGTCGGGTGTCCACAGTTTGACCCCCCCAACATTGGCCACCTCTCAGGTCGGGTGAAAGTCATCTACCTGAGAGGTTGTTGTTGCGGACGACCTGTGTCTGGACCCCATTTCTGAGCTGAGGTGGATGACGTGGACCAATCAGTCTCTCAGATAGGGGCATTCAATAATTACCCAGGGGTTTCACGTCGGATGCGACATTCGAGGTGCTCTTGAGCACTTAACCGTCGCTCTAAGGAGATGATCTGGACTGCTCGTGAGAGGACACGTGTAGGGCGGAGATTGCTTACTACTTCAATATCTATAATTGAGGGCTTTCCTCTCACTTTACAATTTCGAGACTCCCGTTTGTTCTCGTGCCCAGGTCAGTAGCCCATCTTCCTTTATTTCCTTTCGCAAATAGGTCGTAAGAGATGTCTGATAGAGGTAGTAATTCTAGATCGGGTCCTGGGAGCTCGGAGGAGAGCTTCAGGCAGCCCTTGGAGGGGTCTTCCGTTTAACGTCCTCGAGCGGTAGGCCTGCCTCCGACAGGTCGTCCTCCGCTGAGTCTTCCAATAACAGGTCTTCCTCCCCCACGGTAGGGGATGAGGTGCCCCCTTGTCTTGCCATCCAGCTATATGTCCCCCCCTAAGGTCTCGGAAAAGGCAAAAGGTAGCCCATCCGACCTAGGTGATGGTTGCCTGGCCTACTTCAGGGATAGGTACAACATCCCTGCGTCAATAGGGATGAGGTTTCCTAGGAGAGATGAGACAGTAGAGAATCCTCCTGAAGGGCACGCCGTCTTTACGAGAAGCCCGTTTATCGATTTTCATTAAGGTTACGTTGTAGCTTTCGCTTTAATAATGAATGATGTTTAAGTTCGGGGTCAGGCTCCCCCTGCACCCTTTCGCGTAGGAATTTCTAGAGATGGTCAACATAGCCCCTACGCAGCTCGCACCTAATGGTTGGGGAATCCTTTTGAGCTGCTGAACGGTCTTGTGGGGGCTCGGGGTAGATACCTTAGGTGCATACTACCTCACCTCGAGCCAGTTCCTCTCTTTTTACACAGTGAAGAACCTCATCAAGAAACTAGGTCGATTTTATCTCACAGCTCGACAGGGTGTCGGGAAGTTAGTCTGGGGACCATCTTCCATCAAACACTTGAAGGTGGACTGGTTCTACATTTATGGCGACTAGTTGGCTAAGGGTTGTGGGGGCGAGCTGAGTTGGTGGGTTCCTAGCCAATTCAACAATTTAGGTAACACCCTCTTCCTTAGTCGTCAAGTGTCTTCAGGTCTCGCCGGCCTCCTAACTTTTCTTTTTTGCTTGCAGCTCTCCCCAAACATGTTCCCCGAACTGACGAGCTCACCACGAATACTTGGTGAGGATTCCTAAAATATGTCAAGCAGCTCGGCACCGCCTCGCCCTCCTTGCCGACAACAACTTGTACGATTGTGACTTGTACATTCTTGAGTGGGTCATGCCAGAGGAGGTCATGTAAGAGGAAATACTCTAGGAGGTCGCTCTTGAGGAGGAAGCCCTAGAAGAGGTTGCGTCCAACCCGCTAACGCCGAGACCCTCTAGATCTCTCTCTCCCCTTTTGTCCCCCATCTTCAAAGGTACATCGTTTTTTATTCCTCAATCAATTCTTTCAGGTTGATCCTAACTGTGCGAGGGCAACGCAGACTTGTTGCCTACGTTTCTCCTAGGCAGGAAGAGGGGGGCCACCGAGCTCAGTAGTAGCTCTACCCCCATTGAAGTCCCAAATGAAGAGGTGCAGATGGGGTCGGTTCCAGATTGTCTACACCTTACCTCCTGCCGAGAAGAAGAAGAAAAAGGAAAAGACTTACAAGGGGTCTAGCCTGAGCCAGAAGATGGTGAAGGGAGCTGAGAAGGTCGGGCCTTCGGTGACGACTAACTTCGACTGGTCAGGCGTCACGAGAAAAATCGAAGAAGTGAGGGACTGCGACCTCCGCTTCCGAACCTTCCCCACCTTCGATAGCATCAACTCCCTGTCGCGACGGAT